GCACAGTGACAATACAAATTAACTTATTGTGTACTTAACTTTTCACAATGTGAAATTTGATGGCCCCCAAAAGTTGGGGATAGGAAAAAAAACAAAACTCAGAGTGGAGAGTTAATGCTTTTCCTGCTCATTTAAGACAGTTGAATTAATCAGCAACAACTGCCATACTTTTTTTGCAGACAGTTGTCTTCGGATGTCTTTGTAACGTGGGAGGGGAGGATGTGAAAGGCCAATGCTGAAGTCTTAAGGATGTTTCTTGGGGAGATATGGGGCTTAATTCCAAGTAGAGATGCAAAGGAAAGCATTTAGGGTTATGATAAAGTACTACTTAGTTATCTGACCCCATCGCCCCCACCCAAACGTCTGGGTAACTGCTTAATGAATTACAGCTAATCTAGAATGATGTTTGCTCTTGATTAAGCCTGCTCACATGATGGTAGTCAGTGGCATCAATTAGGTAGATCTAGAAGGCTGGAAAAAATACTGAAAAATAGAGCAAAGATTGTTTTCCAGAGCAGGCCACCAAAAGAGGGTTGGGTAAAACAATGTTTAATTCGTAGTTTATTTTGCACCTTATTTATTAGGCTGCATGCATTATGGATGAGATGTAGATGTAGAAGTTTATTTTAATTTCTAACCCTATGCCAAGACTGAAAACATCTGATGAGGTCATTTGGATCAGCCCTCCCTCTCCCCAGAGTTACAAAAATTAAAGTTCAGTCACAGCTTTGAAGGATGGGAGAGAACTCCAAGATCAAAAGGAAAGGAGGGATCTTTTTCCAGTTCTATTCCTGCTTCCCAGCTTTTGACTCCCTATTTTTAGGCAACTCTGACTATTAGGCTTTGCATCAACTCTGGATTCCATGGTTCTCGAATGTCTTGTCTATGTGGGACTTTCTCAGCTGAATGTCTTTCTCTTTTCTTTCTTTTTGACACTCTAACTATGGTAAATGCTTATTGTTGACAACTTTCTTCAGAAAGATAGAATGCTCACAAGCATCTCTTTGCATCACTTCAGTTCAGTCAATAGGTGTCAGGTGTTTCAGGGATTCCAGAAAATCCCTCAGCACATTATAGATGTATAGATTACCTGGTAGACCTATAGATTCTATAGGTCTAACAGGTAATAAGCAACTTCAGCCTTAAGTTCCACAGAGCAGTTTATCCATTAGCCGTTTTTGACGAAGATCCCTGAGCTTTAGCTATCTCTAGTTTGTTGGTTGTGTTGTGTTGAGTTTTCTCAGGCACCTTTGATGTTCAAATGAGAAAATAATTTATATATTTTTTCTTACTTGGTCATCAAAATTTCATTTTAATGTGTGCCGGTTGCGTACGCAGAAAAAAATGGCAAAGTTTCTCTTAGCTATCTTATCTTACTTATAATTTTCATTTGAATGAAGCAGATTAGGAGGGGTTTAAGTGTTAATCTCAATCCATTCCGTTGAATGGGACGTATCTTAATTTACACTTCCAAAATGAATGGATGATTGGATCACAGTCATCTTTCATTGACTGGAAAATGTTCTCATTTAGGAAATGTGAACCTCCACCTCAAAAACTAAGAAATAGATTTCTATAATGTTACCAGCTGATATGGGCATGTTAATGAGTTTTCCAGTTTTGATCCTGAAAAGAAACTTTATTTTCTTTACTAAATATTACAATATACTTCTTGGCTCAAGAATGATGCCTAAACTAAACTCATAATTTAAGTGAAAAGTAATTTTAGGGTAGGATTTTTAGGATAATATGTATTTTAACTCATGTAGTTTAAGGTTTAAAATGGATGTTCCATTAAAAACAATCACATAATGCTTTTTACCAAAAAGTATTTTGGCATTTCAGTTGATCATGGTATAACCTTTATAACCATACTCAGTTTTAATGATGAGAAAACTGCAATTTGATATACAAAATGAATTAATATACAAATAAAAGCAGGTGAAATGGACATGAACCAGAAATACACAACATCTTATCTTAAGCTGAGAGATATCACCTTGGAAAGAATAAAACATGATGTATGGTTGCATAAGCTTAGCAAGCCATAGTTTAACATGGAGTTGTTCCCTGTCTGTTATAGAGAGGAACATGCAGTCCATAAAAGGCACTAATTCTTCCTTTTTCAAGAAAATTCCATGCATGCACAATTTCATATAAGGAAGAACCTTTATAACCTTTATAACTTTATAATGGCTTGTCTTCAGAAGTTGTGGGTGCTCCATCACTGGAGGCTTTTAAGAAGAGACTGGAGAGTCACCTGTCTGAAATGTTATAAGGTCTCCTGCTTGAGGAGGAAGTTGGTCTAGAACAGGGCTTTTCAACCTTTTCACCCATTGTACCACTTTTAGGATATGACACTATCCGAGTACCACCAGCCGCCTAGCAAGGTGTCAAAAACTTGATGAACAAAAAAAAGAAAAAGGAAAAAGTGATAAAGTAAGGTAGTCCTCGACTTACAACAGTCCGCTTAGTGATTGTTTGAAGTTACAATGGCACTGAAAAAAGTGCCCCCCAAGCCACAGCTGAGCAAGATATCTGCCTGCCCGCCCGGCGGCGCTCTTCCTCCTGGCCAAGGTTTTCATTGTTGTGAGCATTTCTGTTGACGATTGGCAGCGGGAGTAGGGTGGGGGTTGTTTGGTTTTATTGCCCCCGTCTGCTGGGTAGTTGCAGCAGGTTTTGGTAACTTCACATGACCCCTGGGACACTGTGACCATCATAAATATGAATCAGTTGCCAAGCATCTGAATGTAAATCACAAGACCCTGGAGATGCTGCAACATTCCAGCTGATCGGCGCTTCTTCTGGGCTCAGCAGAAACGCTAGGATCAGTGCTGCTTTCCAGCTGATTGGTACTTCTTCAGGGCTCAGCAGAAGCGCCAGGATCAGTGCTGTTTTCCAGCTGATTGGTGCTTCTTCAGGGCTCAGCAGAAGCACCAGGATCAGTGCTGTTTTCCAGCTGATTGGTGCTTCTTCAGGGCTCAGCAGAAGCACCAGGATCAGCCCCGAGCTCCAGCTGGAGCCTGGCGCTGATCCTGGCGCTTCCACTGAGCCCTGAGAGCCCTGCAGCTCCAGCCGTCTCTCGCTCAGGCTTGTGTGGTGCTGCCACCGGTTCAGCTCATTCCCCTCCCCCGCTACCACTTTTCTAGGATGCTCGCATACCACCTGCCAGGTGCCAATGTACCACAGGTGGTCCCCGTACCACTGGTTGAAAAGCCCTGGTCTAGAAGATCTCCAAGGTCCTTTCCCTCTCTTATTTTGTTATGTTAATCTGCAGCTTGCTAAGCTTATGCATATCACCTTGGGCTCCTGAATGAAAAGATGGAATATGAATCAAATAAACATAGAAGTGAGGAGGTTCACTCTTGTCTGTAAGAGAGTTGCAGAGGACAGGCTTCTGTGCATCTGTGCAGAGAGCCCAAGCAGGAACAAAGGCAGATAACTCTTCCTCATGTGTGGGAAATAGATCGGGTTGTCCAATAGCCTTGGCGTTTTATGTAGATGGTCAGGCATATTTATTTATTCATTCATTTTAGCAAATTAAAGTAAGCTAAGTGCATTTGACCTCAGATGGCCCCGGTTTAAGTTAATTTGAGAGACAAAGCTTATAATGTTCCGGTAAAACACATCAACCAGCTTCCCAGCATAGTTGAAATTGAAATGTGATTGCTGAAACATAACCTCTCAAGCCAGATACATGAATTTTTAGGCTGGCCCAGAATAATCTCAAACAAAATGTGGTCTACGCGAGAAGCAAACATACAAAAGGACTGCACTGTGCATTAGAGCTTTGCTCTCTTTCTTCCTGCATAGACAATTTCTATCTATCCAGGGACAAAGAAATTGGAGGTGGCAAAACCATTTTATGCAATGATTTTCAGGAAGAGGAGAAGTTCTACAATAGTTCTCAAAGATTAAGTACGTTATTAGTAGTACATCTGGCATAGCTTTCCTCCCCGCTCCCCAGGTTTGTGAGCCAGGGAATTGTGTGTTTCTTCACAACACTTTCAGATAAGCTCAGCACAAGTCAAACCCATTGTAAAATTAGTGTGGAAGTGTCCATGGTGTTATCATCTTCATTTTCCTACAGTTTGCATTTTTGAATGTTGCGTTGTAGTTATTGGTTGGCTTTATTGCTCTCTCTATTGGGATTACTTCTCGGTTAGAATCACCTCGAAGATTCTTGGAAGAATAAACTAACATTGATGCATGTGGAAAAGACTCATTGGAAAAGACCCCGATGTTGGGAAAGATTGAATGCAAAAGGAGAAGGGGATGGCGGAGGATGGGATGGTGAGAAAGTGTCAATTAACACAACGAACATGAATTTGGGCAAACTCTGGGAGACCATGGAAGACAGGGAGCCCTGAAGTGCTATAGTCCTATGGTCTATTTTCCACCTAGAATCAGTAGATACATCTTCCAGTTTCCTTCTTGATTAGTAGGTGTCAAGGAAGGGAGGGGCAAGGATCAGACATGGCTACAAAAGCTGAAAGTGAGAATGTCCCTAAACCACGATATGGACGTATACTTTTGCCTATCACAGAGAACCCAAACCCCAAAGGAGAAGGGGATGGCAGAGGATGAGATGGTGAGATAGGGTCACTGGTGCAATGAGTATGAATTTGGGCAAACTCTGAGAGACAGTGGAGGATAGGATGCCCTGGTGTGCTGTGGTCTATGGAGTTGTGAAGAGTTGGACATGACTTAGCTACTAAATAACAACAAAGCATTATGGTCTCTATACCCCATTGTCCACCTAGAATGGTATCCATCAGTAGATACATCTTCCAGAAGAATCAGAGACAACTTAGTGATTGAACAACAACAACTAAAGCTGCATGTGAAACTGAGGACCTGGGTGAAGAGGGGACAGGTAGACAGTGGTCATAAACCTAGACTAACAAGCAATGATCAACTCAAACATAGGTGTATGAAAAACTGAGAGGAAAGTAAAAAGATGTGAGCATAAACTAATCTGATCTTTGTCTATTGCATAGGTCACAGGCCTTTCCAGTGCAGATACTGCCCCTACAGTGCCTCTCAGAAGGGAAATTTGAAGACTCACGTTCTCTGTGTCCATCGCATGCCTTTCGACAACAGCCAGTACCCTGATCGCAGGTTCAAGCGCTCCAGAGTTGACTCCGAGACTTCTGGGACTTTAGAAGAAACTTCCACTGTCAAATCCGGAAACTCAGTGGAGTTAACCGAGGAAGGCAGCAAGTCTCACAAATAATGCAACCGAACAACTCAAACTGTGTATCGCAATATTATGTTACAATTTTATGATACGCATTTGGATCTCAGAGTGCGTGCTTAAATGGCCTTCTGGGGACAGTCCTTCCTTCCATTTGTGCAAATGCTCAGAAGCATATACAAACACACAGACACACACAAACATACACACACCTACACACAGTGTGTGTGTGTAAATATGTATGTATGGGGGAAAAAATGGGATGGGGGGGATCCATTCCTTGAAAATGGCTGTTCCACTGTTAGCTGGCAACAAATACTTCCAAACAAGTAGGTGGCTCTTAACTCAAATGGGTGTATCCTCTCACCCCCAAAATTGAGGACATTGCAAGATTTTTTTTAAGAAAGAAAGAAAGAAAGAAAGAAAGAAAGAAAGAAAGAAAGAAAGAAAGAAAGAAAGACATTTCCAATGTGAAAATGAGTTTGTTTGTTTTTTTCAGCAATAGTGCTCTTACCAGGAACAATAAAATGGATACCATTGGATATCGATTTCCCGTTGCCTTGAAGATGGTGGGAATGTGTATGCGTGTAAGAGGGATTGTGTTTTCAATGCTGAAAACACCTTTTTAATATGACACCAACCGCTGTCATTTGCCTAGCATAATAATGAGATGTGTGGGTTGACTGAAGTGGTGCCAGGCTGACCGGAGCTGTCACTGCAGAGAAAATCAATTTGGCTGCACTACAGGAGAAATTCTAGATTGTCCATAAGCCACGGTCAGTCCTGACCTATATTGAAAAGGATTGTGCTTTTACGTTTTAATTTTCAAAAGATACACACAGACACACACACACAGGCAGACCTACAGACAGCCTACACTGACAGCCACCCAGATAAATTAGTGGAATTTAGAGTGGAAAAGAAAATCTGCAACCAATAAGAAGCTGTTGATCTATTGTACACTTTCTTTGGGGCTGGGGTGTGATTTTTTTTCCCCCTAACTCAACCTGAAGTATTGAGGGGGAAATTTTATTTTTCCCCTTCTTGTTTTGTTCCCTTGTAACAAAATAGATTGTGATGGAGGGATTTAGAAACGCCGATTAAAGAACATACTAGTTAGGGCAACTATTTAGCCTTATCTGAAGGAAAGATCAGCGCAGATAACTAGTTCTTCCATAGAAAACTTGAATGAAGAAGTCCCACATCAGATTTGTTTTCAGAGAGGTTTATTTTTTCTTGTCAATAAGCAGCCTGGATATTTTGAAAAAGGTTTTGTTTTTTTTATTGGAGAAGAGGATTTTCCAACCTTTTGAATCTGAACTATGAATTTTGTCTTGGCTGAAAAGAAAAAAAAAAGAACAAAAAAAAGTATGGAAGGGAAGTGTTAGAAATATTCCTTGTTTTTCTAAGGAGGGAAAAAGGTATGTTCTATATATTTTTTGCAAATTTTAACTTTTTCTACTAATTGGCCCCCTCCAAATTGAATTCTGTTGCTTCTCATCTAAAAGCTTTGGGTATAATTTTAACAGAAGTCTTAAATGGAAGAAAAAAAGGAAAGAAAGAAAAAAGAAAGAAGCAAGATAGTTATAGTTCTTCATGGCTTCGGTTGGAATGACAAAATTGTGGAGCTTTTCAGGCAGTTCCTTTGTGAACAGTGCAATTGGTGTTGTTCCCAATGAAAAATAAGTATTAATTTCTCCTCAAAACGAAATCATTCAGGAAAGAAAGAAAGAAAGAAAGAAAGAAAGAAAGAAAGAAAGAAAGAAAGAAAGAAAGAAAGAAAGAAAGAAAGAAAGAAGATGATATATCATTGAAGGCTAGGAGCACAGATTAAAACCCAAGAGCCTTAAAAATTTCAGCTCTGCCTACAGCAGGACATCCTAAAAAGGACATCCTACAAACAGCAAAAATGTAAATAAAATTCGTAGCAGTCCTGAGACTGAGAAAATGAAGGGGGGGGGGGGAAGGAAGAAAAGAAAGTTCTCAGGTTAATAAGGATTATCGTTTGCAAATTGTTGTCAGAAAAATAAAATCAAATATAACCAACCCCCATCCTACTGAAACTTCAGATAAACTGAGGTCGCCTTGCGTAGCTCCGGTGGTAAAGGGCAAACAGTTTTTTTTCTCTCTCTCTCTCATTTTGGTTTTAATTTTCATTTGTCTCTTTCCTAGTCTAGTTCTCACTGCCTTACTTAAATCAACTTGATCGACTGAATGCAACTGTTTCTTACGATCCCAAGGAAAGGATCGCCACGTAAATGGAGGATTTTTCTGACTGTAGCAAGCTTTAGGGTTTAAACTGCACTACCGTGTTTTGGTGACTGTGCTTCGGTCGCTTGCTCCTTTTTTTGTGTGTGTGTGTGTGTGTCTCGACGCTGCCTTCAGTATCTTAGCGAGAAAAACAAAAAGAGAGAATTTTTAAAAAAAGAAAGAATCCCACATTCCATTTTCTTGCACTTTTTTGCAGGCCCCTTTCATGGTTTCTGAGCATTTTCAGATACGACAGGCAATAATTCTGTTTGTGACACTGGAAACTTAACTCACTGTTCTTTGTGGTGTGTGTGTTGAATCCACGTAGTCTGGTGCTACTGTCCTCATGGTTTTTTGCCTCCGACGTCCACCCATTTTTTTTCCCCACCCTGGAACATTTGTAACTTGGAACACAAACGAGTGACAGGAGCCGTGAAATACTGTCAGCTTCCGAATATCTTCATGCTTCTCATATCTAAACATGTCAAGTTTTTTCCCTGTAACTTCTGTAGTCTGTGATATTGGTCAAAATACTGTCTACATTCCTAAGCAAAAGGATATATATATATATATATATATATCTTGGAGAGATTCTGAGGTCAATAGAGTAGAGGGTTTTGTTGCTATGCTTGTAACAATTAGGAAAAAAAAACCTTTGTATTTAAAGTTTATTCTTGATCATTATTTATTATTATAAGACATCAGTTGACAGAACTTTATTCTGGTATAGAAGTATTAAAAGTCGTTTCCCCTTGCCAGAAAATGGCTGTTTTTATTTTATTTTCTTTCTGCTGTTAGAATAAAAATGTCTTTGAAGCAGTACAGTTTTATCCAGTGTTTTACGCAATAAAACTTCTGCCTCTGGGGAAATAAAGTGAAGGGGTTTTTTTAAAAAAAAACTTCTTTATGTTTATTAGAAAGTCGCAGGGTTTCCCCCCCCCCCCTGCTGTTTTGTCCATTTTGGGGGGAAAAAGTTGGTAACAGTCAAGTCACTCCTTATTTTTCAGAACAGATCTATACAATATCTAAATCTGTCTCTTTATATACAGGCAAATAGTTATATCTGAATTAAAAGATTGTTGAAATTTTAGCACCCAGTAACAATTTTTATAATGCTGGGGCTGCATTACAGAAAAAAAAGGAAGACTGACCATTTTATATAAAAGATACATTTAGCTTTTGAAAATAAGGGGGCTGTTATATTGTTGCAGGTAAATTAAACACCCATCCGTTGTAAAGCAACCTACAGCAACAGAAAGTTGTAAAATATTAGAGACAGCTCATTTTTTCTCTCATTTTTCCTATAAGTAGTCTGGTTTTTGTACAGGTAGTTCTTGATTTAGAACCATCAATTTAGTGACTGTTCACTGAAAAAAGTGACTTATGACTGTTTTTCACACCTACGACCGTTGCAGCATCCTCACAGTCACGTGATCAAAATTCGGAGGCTTGACAACATTGTCCCAAAGTCATGTGATCCTCTTTTGCAACTTCGGACAAGCAAAGTCAATGGGGAAGCCAGATTCATTTAATAACTATGTTAGTAACTGCAGTTATTCACTTAACAACCATGGCAAGGAGAGTCATAAAATGGGGTAAAGCTCACTTAACAAATGACTTGCTTAGCAGAACAGAAATTTTGGACTTGAATGCTGTGGTTGTAAGTTGTAACCTGTACTCAGATATAAACAAGGACACTAAAGTGTTTCTGACATAGGTACTACCCAACCAACCTACAATCTTAACACCTTTCAGGAAGAAAATCTCATTGAAATCAATGATTTCATGCGGCCTAGGTTAGCATTGTTAAGTATTTTAAGAAATAAATAAATACATTCTAAAGGAAGAGAAAAGGGATGCCAGAGTTGATGGGCAAATCGGCGATATCTACAGAAGCTGGAAGCTTTTGGTGGAAGGATAAAAGCACTATCACAAGCGCTTTGGGGGGCGAATATGCCACACTGCAAACATATAAAAAGGGGTGGGGCCAAAACAAGCATGAGCCCCGCCCCCACGGATGCTACAGAAGGAAAACAATCACAGTATCATGTTTTATGATAAATATGAGTCACTTGTCAAGCATCTGAGTGTAAATCACATGACCATGGGGATGCTGCAATGGTCATAAGTGTGAAAAATGGCCATAAGTCACTTTTTTTCAGTGCGGTTGTAAGTTTGAACGATCATTAAGCGAACTGTTGTAAGTCGAGGACTACCTGTAGTAATCTGACCATACATGGATGCCTTTTGGTTTCCATTGTGCATGTGGCGTACCACAATTTTGCTAGGTTAAATGATGTCTAGGGTGTTTCACTGCCTTTCCTGACTAATTATCTTTGACGAGCTCTGATCTTCAATGTGATAATTGCTATTATCACATTGATAACCTGAATGTGTGAAATTGCTAACACAGAACCTTGCCTCTTTCTCACATCAAGCAATTATTCAAGCACAGGAGATGGTTGGGAAGTATATAAGATTTTAAATGAGATCTCAAACTGAAAAGGTGGGCCTTTCATTTCTTCACACAGCACTGGATTTATCTGGGGAAGAAGACCTCACTTGGATCCAAGTGCTATTCTGGAAACGAGGGCAGATCATTCAGGGCTGCCGTGAGCAACCTTCCATCTCCCTAGGAATGTTCCATATGGATCACGGGACCCAGATATATGTGTGTGTGTGATAGATAGATAGATAGATAGATAGATAGATAGATAGATAGATAGATAGATAGATAGATAGATAGATAGATGGATGGATGGATGGATGGATGGATGGATGGATGGATGGATGGAGGGAGGGAGGGAGGGAGGGAGGGAGGGAGAGGAGGAAAGAATTTGACTTTTACAAGTGCTTGATCAATGA